TTCATCTTTTATTTTATTTTATTTTTTGGCGGAACCGGGGATTGAACTCAGATCCTTGCGTTTGCCAGTCAAGCGCTTATCCTCCTGAGCCATCTCCCTGGCCCCCCCATTCATCTTATTGTTGACTCTTTATGATAGTTCTTGTATGACTGGGGCTTTGTCCATAAAGTGTCTGGCTACACCAGTGGCCTCAAGAGTTCTACCTAGTCTTATCTTCCAGCAGATTTAGGGTTTCTGTTTTCATATTTAGATCTTTCATCCATTCTGATTTTAATTTAGTGCATGGTGAAAGAGAGGGGTGTAGTTTTAATCTTTGGCATGTGGAAAGCCAGTTTTCCCAGCACCAGTTTTATTAAAGAGGCTTTCTTTCTTCCAGTGAAGGTGTTTGGCCCCTTTGTCATGAGCTGGCTGAGTGTGTCTGAGCTGTTTTTGCGTCTTCTCATCTGTTTCGTTGATCTATGGGCCTGTTTTTCTTTTCTTTCTTTCTTTCTTTCTTTCTTTCTTTCTTTCTTTCTTTCTTTCTTTCTTTCTTTTTTTCTTTCTTTCTTTTTGGTGGAAGCGGGGATTGAACTCAGGCCCTTGCGCTTGCCAGGCAAGCACTTATTCTACTGAGCTGTCTCCCTGGTCCCTGGGCCTGTTTTTCTTTAACACTTTTTATCACAGTAGCTTTATAATTGCAAGCGAGGGATTGCGATGCCTCTACCTTGCCTTTGCTGCCCAGTGTTGGTTTTGCTATTTTAGGTCTCTTCTGGTCTCCAATTAATTTTATGAACATTTTTTTCTAATTCTGTGACATATGCTGTTGGAATTCTGATCACGGTCGCATTAAATCTGTGTAACAATCCTGGGAATGTGGTCATTTCACTATATTGCTGCTTCTTACCCAAGAACAAGGGATACCTTTCCTTTTTTTTTTTTTTTTTTTTTTCCATCCCATCTCTTTTTAAAAAATTTTTTAAAACCGGAATACTACTGGCTTTTGGGTGTTGACTTCGTATTCAGCCATATGCTACTGAATTTGGTTATTAAATCTAGAAGTCTTTTGGTGGAGTTTTGGGGGTCTTTTATGTAGAGTATCATGTCATCTGCAAATAATGATGGTTTATTTTCTTCCTTTCCTGTCTTTATTCTTTTTTTATGTATGTAGTATAGGGTCTTATAGGGTCTCACTACACAGATTGGACTCATGCTGATCTTCCTGTTTTCAGCCTCCCAAATGCTGGGATTACAGGCGCGCCACCATGCCCAGTCTCAGTCACCATCTCAGCACGCCCTGGGGGTGGGGCCAGCTTGGCATGCCGGGGATCAAACCCCAGCTGCTGTGCTCTGCCTAAGCGGGTGCTTTAGTCCACTGAGCTATCTAGCTGGTCCTCTACCTTTATTCCTTATTTTTATTTATTTATTTATTTTTTTAAAGAATTTGGGGTCTGGGAGACAGCGCAGCAGCATAAGCACCTGCCTGGGAAGTGAGAGGTCCCGAGTTTAATCCCTGGTACCAAAATAAATAAATAAATAAATTTGGGACAAGGTCTCATTATGCAGCTCAGACTTGTAGTGACCCTCCTGCCTCAGCTCCCCAGCACTGGGATTACAGGCGTGCACCACCATGCCTGGTTTCTGTGGCCAGCTCTGCGTGGGGCTGGCATGGCCTGTGGCACCAGGCATTGAACCCAGGTCCTTGCACTTGCCAAGCAGGTACTTAGGTTGCTGAACTATTTCACAGGTCTCTGTTTTAATTTTTTTTTTTTTTTAAATATTTTTGTCTTGTTTGGTACCAGAAACTGAATTCAGGACCTCCAGGACCTCACTCTTGCCAGGAAAGCACTGCACCCCTGAGCCATATCCCTGGCCCCATCTTTGCTCTTTTTTTCTTTGCAGTATCAGGGATTGAACTCATGACCTTGTGCTTGCCAGGCAAGCACTTACGCCACTGAACTATCTCCCCAGCCCTCCTATCTTTATTCCTTTTTCTTGTCTAATTGCTTTGGCTAGTGTGTCCAGAACTAGGAATAAGAGTGGTGACCATGGATATCTTTGTCTTGTTTCTGACTTTAGAGTGAAAGCTTTCAGTTTTTGTCCATTTGGCATGATGTTGGCTGTTGGTTTGTCAGAGATGGCTTTTATCAAAGTGAGATAAAAGCCATCTATTCCAATTTTCTGCAGAGTTCTTATCATGAATGGTTGTGGGGTTTTGTCAGGCACTTTTTCTGCATCTATTTATATGATCACATGGTTTTTGTCCCAGGCTCTTTCGATATAGTGTATCACATTTATTGATTTTTTTTTTTTCCCCGGAACCGGGGATTGAACTCAGGCCCTTGCACTTGCCAGACAAGCACCCATTCTACTGAGCCATCTCCCCAGCCCCACATTTATTGATTTGTGTATGTTGAACTATCCCTGCATCCCTGGGATGAATCCTATTTGGTCACAGTGTATAATCTTGATGATTTGCTGCATTCTGTTTTCCAGTATTTTACTGAGGAGTTCTGCCTCTGTGCTCCTTAGGGAGATTGGCTGTAGTTCTCTTCTTTGATTGCGTCCTGCTTTGGTTTTACTATCAGGGTAACACTTTTGCCTTGTTTTTTTGAGATAGGGTCTCACTATATACCCCAGGCTAGCCCTGAACTCACAACAAGCCTCCTGCCTCAGCCTTCTGAAGGTTGAGTTTACAGAGATGTACTACCACATGCAGCTTAACTTTTTGATGTCTGAACTTGTCTGTGTTCCTCTCCCAGCCCAGAGGGAGGTAACAGCTGTGTCCTTCTCCCCTTGCTCTCCATGGGCCCCCGGGCCAGGCACACATCCGGCACTCGGGACAGGATGAGAACATGCCAAGCTAACCAGTGAGCAGCCAGATCCTGGCTCTGACCTCGGGGCTGCAGGGGGAGAGCCCCGCTCTCACATCTTGCCTTAGTGCTTGGTGTGGTTCCCTATACTGTTTATGTCTCAGAAATTAAGTCCCCAGGGTGGGACCCTGGGCACCCCGGCTTCCTATGCTAGTTTAACGTCCCCAGCTCAGCCTTCAGAGCCCCAGAAAGAGCCCCACTCTGCCATCTCACCCTGTCCGGTACCACTTGTCCTGCCCGACTGCTTCAAAGGTCTTCTCCGGCTCGGCCCAGTAGCCTTGCATGACGCAGTAGCCCCGGATGCACAGCTCCCCAGGCGTGTGCAGCGCGGCCAGCTCCCCGGTCTCCACGTTCACGATCTGGGCCTGGGACAGGGCAGCTTCAGCCTGGGCAACACTCGGGGCCGGGGGAGTTTGTCCCCCGACACACTAATGAGGGCCCCAGCTCTGCCCATCCGTTCTAGGGAAGAGAGTGGACCCATCCACAGGCAGCAGCTTGAGCTGGACACAAAAGCCCAGTGAGCCCCGGGCAGGGGTGCTGGGGACACAGGGAGCTGTCACAGGGAAGGCAGCTGAGCAGCGCCATGCCAGCTGCAGAATTATAAACCATGCAGAAGGCAGTCTCCTCTCCTTTTCCGTTAAGCAGCATCTTAAATTAAGAAGCCAAAGAGGGTGGCGCGGCAGCACTATGTGAACAAGGAACAGTCGAAGAAGCCAGTGCCATGGGGCGCTGAGACTCTGTGCCTCAGTGTCTGCCCCTGGGCTGCGGGCCAGACTAAACCCGCCCAGCTATCTTACGGTGGGGGCACCCCAAGACAGGTGGTAGGTGGCTGTCAGTCCCAAGTGCGAGTACCCTGGCTAGTGGCAGCAAAACACAGGTCACCTCCAGCAAG